CCCACCTGCTGCAACCCAGTGTTGGGAAACACCCATACACTCTCATTCACACACACACACAAACACTAAGGACAATTTAGCTTATTTTATTCACCTATAGCACATGTCTTTGGACAGTGGGGGAAACTAGAGCACCCAGAAGAAACCCACACAAACACGGGGAGAACATACATATTTACACACACCCACACACACACACACACACACACACACACACACACACACACACACACACACACACACACACACACACACACACACACATATATATATATATATATATATATATATATATATACATATTTATGCAAACAAACAAATAAATAGTTGTATTAGTTACTTGTTACTGAAACTAACATCTAATCATTTTATCGCAACACTAGAATACAATATAATAATAATAATAATGTCGATTCTCCTCGTTAAAAAGTAAACATCAAAAACTAAAGAGAATATGCCAAAACTGTCCAAGCAAACAAATCAGTAGTGAGACAGAGGCTCGAATTGCAGGCAGTGTTTGAATTAAAATCTCTGTAGCCTGAAACATCAGGAAGAAGTGGCAGAAACACATCTTGACCAGCCTGGATGGCATGCCCCCTTTACTGTGAGATCTGTCTGTCTGTAAATACCACTGTTGACTCAGCACTGATTAAACCTGAGGACGCCCGAGCAAACTACACATCCAGCTGCTCTCAAATGGCAGGTTATGAGAAATCACAGTGCATGGCTGCAGATGGTGACCAGTGCAAATATGAAATGTCAGTGTGTAGCAGTGCATGAAATCCCAGCGTGGGCAACTGTGCAGGTCAGATTCTGACTGGCAGCATCGGTAATTGAAGAAATTTGGTTGGAATTTAAATAACCTTAATGTGGTGCCCCTATTTCCGCCTTTGGCCACTAGCTGTAGATTACACTAATTGAAATGCAAGTCTTTAACTGGTTAGTAAAACCTGGCATGTGCCATTCTGGCTTTTCATCTATGTTCTATGAGGCATTAATCAAGATAGCCTCAACTGTTTTGAATAAGGCTTAGTGTGTGTACACAGCAAATTCATCAGAGTTAAATTCTCGGTGTTGAAGCATTTCAGAGTAAAGTGTTGACGTTAAAGAGTTAGATTTTGATAAATGAATATAATAAGAGTTAGAATTGATTTTATTCAGTGCGAAATCAAGGAGTTATCTTTTTTACACTTGGTGGTGTTATTTCCAACATCCGGGAATTCATGCAGCCCCAGTCACTGAAGAATTTTCCAGACGCCATTTTCCATCTGAAGTTTAGAACAGCAACTGGTGAGTCAAACTACCTAAATGTTGGTATTTTACTGACTTTCTTTAAGGAAATACAGTTGTAAACATATTGTTAAGTTAATAACTTTAGAATGTAGTGACAATTTTAATCTTCTGCGGTTTATGCATGGTCGTTTGTGTATCTAGCTTAACTGCATTACTATCGACTTCTTTTCAAGAATGTTTTTATATGTGCTCACGCATACATAGTGCATAAAAACATCAAATGTACATGTTCAACACATTTCTGTCACGCTTAATGCCATTTTGTGCGTTGTTACCCATCTGTAAAATAAAATCGACACTTCTCCTTTAATTCTAAGCAAACTAGCGAGGGAATTCCCGGAGCAGCCTTGCCTGCTCTGCCCGGATGCTAACGGCAACACAGGACGGTTTCCATAAGCTCTGGAGAGTTTCTAAAACATATCTGGTGAGTAAATGAACATATGCTTACTTGTTAAAGGCTTCCTGATTAAAATATATGATTGTTTGTTATCCGTGTATGTTAATTTGGTTATTTTAAACACCGCAGCCCTTTTAAACTGGTTCATTCGTGGCCGTCCATATCGTTAGTCCATAGACTCGCGTGATAACGTACGCTTGAATTATATTAAGTGTTGACAACCATTAAAGTCGGAATGTTAACATTAATGTCTTTAAATGACCGCGTTTGCACTTTCTCAGACATTTGACGTTACAGAAGTCTCCCGGAAGTTGCGGGACTAACGTTAACGTTATCCCGCAAATGCACAGAGACTCCCAGATGCCTAAGTAGATGCCCGCAAATGAATGATAATCTCCCGGAAATCGCGCGTCTCCCGCCCGGTCATTAAACACTTTGCACACCCCTCTCCACCGCATCCCTCCCAGCTCTTCAGGTATGTCGCGCGCAAGTCACCCCCACCGCTCTTTAGGTACGTCGCGCGCAAGTCACCCCACCGCTCTTCAGGTACTCATCTCTCCCGCTACCTCCCGCAAATCAACTCTGTATCCCCCGAAAATGACTTTTCCCAACTCGGGATGTCTGACGTTAGTAAGTTAGGCTATTTCTGTAGTTAGGAACATCTTAGTCAAGCTTTTTCTTACGCATGATATTGTGCTTAAAACTAGGCTAAACTTAGCATGTACTGTACACAACATTTCCGTTTTATTAAAGACAATTTAGTGCGTTGTAAACAGCCACCTGTCTGTAAAATTAATCAACTGATTCATATTTGATCAGCCTAATGATGATACAGGTTTGATTTGTAGATTTATTATCAATAATCAACATCTGAATCAAAAGATATCTGAAAAAGTGTGAGGCATACTTTGTGATGTTCATCTCTCTTTTTTTATCTGAAGGTTATGCATATGTGTTAGATACTAATGTTTTGTTGTTTTTTAACACCCACAGTTCTCTGTACAATAACACAAGACCCTGTGACGGTGGCTGATTAGAGACGGATGGTGTATTTCCAGAGTTGGTGAAATGACCAAGCACACCTTCTTGGTCATATGTGGTGATAATAATGAAGGTATGTTTGATAAAGTTCTGTATTTGTTTCACAATAAGCTGAGAGGGTATTAGAGCATTAGAGAATAACAAATGACATGAAGGTGATAAGTTTTGTATTGTGGGTGAAATATTACTTAAATAATGTTTTGCTCTTTGCTCTGCACTTCTCTTCTGCTTATCCTAATAGTTAAGATTATATTTGGACCTGAAACATCTGCTAGACTCCAGGAAAGGTGGCGTCAATACTGGTCCTGAAAGGGCCCAACAAGTTGAATCTGGTAAAGAAACACGCACGCACGCTCACACACACACACACACACACACACACACACACACGCACACGCTTACAGAAAACTGTAAGTTTATGAATATTTTTTACACTGTGGCCAGTATTTTGGGGAAGTCAGCATCACTAAATGATATAAAAGATTTTAAGCTCCTCTAAATTTTGCTCCAAGTGTTGTGTTAAATTCAGGATTCTGGACAGACAGCTGCCTGTTTTTCCAGTTCTAGTCATAGTGATTAACCTAATTGTTTTCGGAGATCCAACAGTGATGTGTGTGTTTTTTCTACTTTTCCATATCCTGTCACCTCAACCAGCTGGGAGAGTCAAGTTGTGGATCATCATGAAAATTTTCAAAAGGTGAGTTTAGATTTCTTGAATGTTTTATTTACTTTAAATGTTCTTTTAAATATATCATAGAATTTGATTGCAATTTGTTTTCAAACATTTATCTTAGTCATGCTGGAGTCTTGAAGAGTTCTTAGATGAGCATCACCCTATATCCGTGCATCAGGAACCACCAGACGAGCGATCAGCAGCTACTACATCGTCATGGATAAAAAGGTCATCCTGTGGCTGGGAAGCACTTCATTCACAGGACATGCTTGATGAGATTTCCTAGCTCCAGTTTGTTTTCACACAAGTTTCCAGCATTTATACCTTCATTTAAACTGCTGTGTTTGATATGGAGGACCAAGGAAACACCCGAAGTGAAAGATTTGCACGCCAAGTTGTTTAAAATGTAATTTCAGAAGAAAACTATGCGTTCAGAAGAAAACTGATGAAACATCAAGTTTGGACCAAAGGACTGAAACAGCCTTTTTGAGCACTGGTCATACATATTTTGTTGATACTGTCTGTACTAATAAAACATTTAAAGCATATTTGACATTGTTGCATTTTAAAAACTGAATGAATTGTTGAAGTGGTGAATTTTTTCAAATAAAATGTTTTTTCTTTTGTAATTTACAGTCTATTTGAGTTTTTTACCATATTTACACTCAAGAGAGTTGAATAAAATAATATATTACACCAGGCGGTGTTAAATATAGTTACATTTTTTAACTCTGCCCAGAGTTAAAATTAACCCTTACTTCGGTGTCAATGTGCCAACCCTTTTGAAAGTGTTGATTTAACTCTGTTTTGAGTGGACCCCATGAGACACTTTCAAAGTGTTGAAATTAACACCCATAGAGTTGTTTTGGGTCCCCATATTTTGCTGTGTAAGAATATACACCTCTTTTTAAAAAGAACTGTTTTTAAAAAATAAATATAAGAGTGTTTAGTAATGTTTTTTTGTATGCTAAGTATTTTTTAAAATATAAATCCTTTGCAATCAGTTCACTACATCTGTAATTGTTAAAAGTACGGCTTATTTCAGACAAATCAAATCGCATAAACAAACAAACAAATTAATTAAATCAATCAAGGAAATCTGATCAACATTATGGCCATTTGGGTCTTAAATAATACAGCATACTGTATATTTAGCATCACTCCGGAACTACTTGTGTTTCATTAACAGTTTGAACTTGTTTTATATCTTCTAAATTTCATTGTGATTGTTTATTCTATTTTAGTAATGTTCTGTGTTCGTGTAAAAATCTAAAGTGTACACCATATATTTTTATTGTATTATTATATTGTATTTATATGTATATTGCTTATTAATGTGTTAATTAACTCGGTTTTTATTTTATGCTTAAAAATGTAAAAATGTAAATGTAAATGTAAAAATTATTCATAAACATTTGTCATTTCTATTAAATGTTCATAAACATTTGTCATTTGTATTTGAGTTTTTGATTAATAGAAAGTTTTAGTGTGAGAAAATCATCATCAATGATTTGACACATTTTGCTACCATTTGAACCCTTAGTACCAATAAGTGCAAATGTGTGCAAATTCCTGTGTTAATGTTTAAAACAATACCTGTTAACACAAGACTGACTTCACACAGGTCCTCTTGTGGTACACGGAAGCTAAAGGACTCATTGTAGCAGGGGTCAATAGTGCCTCTCATACAGGATGTCTTCTTAGACTTCATCAGCTTCAGACCCGTCACCAACTGCACCTTCACAAATGGATCTGCAGACAGAGAAGGAATGACTGGCTTAAAGTTTAAAACAGGATAATCAGTGAGAACAGTGACCAATACTATTCAGACCAATAGTGAATTAGCTAACACAAAAGCTAAATAGCCTGTTAGCCTTTGGTTGAAGCTGGATGTGTGTCATTCTGTCACCGCACCAGTGTGAAAACTGTTCGGAATCACAGATCCTATGTCTTGGAAGTTTGACCCAAATAAGACTTTTCACTTGAAAATATCTTCTGGAAAGTAACATGTTTGCCCATTTTGTTCTGACCAACTGTTGAAAAGAAAGTTACAATGCTACTGAAGGGGGAAAACCTAACAATCGCTTAGGACTTCACATCATGCCATGCAAATTATTATTATTACAATTATACTTTGTTCACAAATGGTTAAATGTTAGAAACATCAACATTGCATGACGTATTTAATGTGTATTAAGTGTTAATTGTAGATACAGATTTCTTTATACTGTAGTCTTATCTCTTATCGTCATGCCATTCAAATATTATATAAAACTGACAAGTTTAATTATTCCTGCTGTGAGAAAAGACAATAAATGATCTCACATGCCCTCCCTGTGTGTACCTTGATGTAAAAAGTGACATAAAAACCCTTCAAAAATGCAAATAGATTTTATGCCAATTGCTTACATTGACGTCAGAAAGAAATCAAACTGACATGTCACACTGGCATCAAAACACATATCCAAAATCAAATACCGGTCTGACCTGTAATCAATTTTTTGACATGTCTTTTGACGTCAATGTTAGATGTCAATTTGATGATGTTTAGACATCAAGGTAGATTACATGCATACTAGGAATACAAGATCCAGAGTAAATTTGTCATTTGCAATTGAATCTTTCAGATGAACAAAATTTCAATGTCTGGATGTCAAGTGGATGTTTTGACATGGAGGAGCCTGCTGGTTATAGCATAAACCCATTAGCTGTAATTTCTTCTGTATACATACATTTTGTGACATAATGACGCAAAAACAGCAAGCTCAATTAAATTTGAAAACAATTTACACACTGTTGTTACTCTGTCTAAGGTGAGTAGACAGTAATGATATAGCTTTGAAGACTGGCTTTATACACAGACTTTAAACAGATTTTACTAAAAAACTGAAGAAATGGAGAAAAGAAAAGCCACAGACTGCAGCTTTAACTTCATCATGTGGGTTGTGTAGTCAAACTAGTGGCAAGAAAAAATCAGAAATGAAGCCTTTAGTTTATTTCATTATAAAAATAATTACTTTGAAATGAAAAAAAATACTAAAGCTTCGACTTCCTATAGAGTTAAACACACTGAAAGGCATTTACCTGAGCCTTGGCACATGTCTGTCTGCAGCAGCTGCTTTGCTCGGATGATGTCCACATTTAACCTGCCAGCACTGGGCAGATAGTTTAAGGACAGCAGCAGCTCACCAAGCTCAACCTCATTCTGACAAACATCAACATTGAGAAATCAGTGTCATAAAAATTATGTCATTAATGATAGCTCTATAAATGTCAAAGATATTAAAGGTTTAACATCAAAATAATTACACAATGAAAGTTTTGCCATATGAAAATATAGCTGATGTGCTTCCTGATACATTTCTGAAAGTTTAGGAATAAATGAAATAAAAAAAAAGTGTTTGGCATGTTAGATTTTTTTTTATTCTATACGAATCTAGCAAAAAAAAAAAGTGTTTGAAAATATATATGAGGTTTGAAGTTAGAGTTATGTTTATAGAGTTTTGGGTTTGAAATACAACACTTAAAAAGAAAATCATGATCCTCTTAAAAATAAATAAGGATATCCTCTTATTATACAGAGAAACTGTGTCTTGATCATCAAATAAAAACATTATTAGTAAATTCTGAAGAATCGTCTAACATTGAACAGAAGAGTAATGACAGAGAAACAAAGTACATTCTAAAATATAATAAAATTCTAATCAATTATTTAAAATCTTTATCTTTTGTAGGAGATTCAAATATCTATCTCTGGTAGAGATAAAGAGTTCCTAAGTGTAGGTTGAATATTGAAAACCAATATAAGAAATCCTTCATACCTGTTTTAGTGGGTTTATTTAACTAGAGTAATAAAATAACTAGCATTATAGTTACTGTAACTACTGTATTTTGTATGGATTTTGTATGGATATTTTTTATGGAATGTCTGCAGCAATATGGTGATATTGTACTACTACTACAACTACTACTACTACTACTAAAATGAAATATTATATGTGTTTACTGTATATTTGATCAAATACATGCAGCATTTTTTTTTTATACCACTGACTTCTATTCATATAAATGCAGGAAACACTATCATTTGATTCTAATCAGACAGGGCCTGTGGCATATCAGTGGCCAGACATTGATTGAACATGAACAAAATTACACTACATTAATGTTGCTATTGTTACTATGTAAATGAAACTCACTTCTGACCTTTTTAAAACACTGGATTTTTGTGTTATAACTGTTGACGTAATAAAAAAATATATATATACATAATTTGAAAGCTGACTATACAAGCTCTCCATTGATGTGTGATTTGCCAGCATAAAGGGTAATATTTGATACAGCTATTTGAAAACATGTAATCTGACAGCAAGCAAGCAAGCAAACAAACAAAAAAACAAACATATAAATAGGTAAATATAAATATTGAGATAATGCACATTACTAATCAAATAATTTTTTGTTGAGTTTTGATATATTTAAAATTTGAGTTTTAATATACATTAACAGTAGGACAACTACAAAATGCCTTCTCGAAACATGATCTACAGCACTGGTTCCCAAATTTTTGCCGTGTGCACCCCTTTCTAGTATTTAACACCTGTAAAGGACCCCTTTCTCGATTAAACTCTACATTTTTAACTACAATAACTAAATACACATATTTTCTGTGTCCGTGATTAAAACAAAAATAATAAAATATGTGAATTTAATGGATGAGCTTTTATGTAGTTGACAATTTTCACAGTACAGACAAAAGTTCTGCATGTTTTTCATGGCTAGAGCTTCTTGGTGGATGCTGCAGTGTACCCATGAAACTGATGGTGCAACTTTTCAGATAAAAGCTATACTGCTCCTTTGTACCTTCTTTTTTCTTCTTCTGCAGTTTCCTCAATATTCCTTAAAATGCATGTCTTGTAAGTGGCTGTGTCTTGTTTGTAAGTACCGGACCAAATATAAGACTGCTATTAGCTAAAACCTCACCACAGACTACACATTGCGGATTTAGATTTTCTGCATCTCCAATCCATGTAAACCTGAAACCAATGCAACTGTCACTATATATGCGTTGCTTACTTGACATTTTCTCACTCTCTAGTGTAGGCCTAATTCTCTTCATTAGTAAATCTCTGCTGGATTTCTGTTTCCGCCTCGATCCATATCCTCCATAAGTCCATATATTCAAGGCCGCTGCACATCTCCATAGAAGAGGCCGATGTAGATGGTTCATCCCTACTGTCACTTGACTTCTTTAAATGGCAATTTTTGCAGGTGTCCATTGCGATTAATATAGTAAGCGAAAAAAATTCGAATGTACTATCACTTAGCGCCTAATGTGAAAGGACGGGGCTTATGTGACACAGATGTGAAACTGCGAGATGAGTGAGTATGCATAGGTTGTAAATTACAATTTGTAATGTGATAAATACATAAAAACAAAACAAAATTCCACTATTACAAACATTTTCTTGCTCACCCCTGGTGGTCAGACTGCGCACCCCAAGGAGTGCACACACCCCAGTTTGGGAACCACAGATCTACAGTATATGTTCGGAAAATTTTTGCCATTAAAAAAGAAAAACCCATCATTTGACCAATGTATTTTTGGCTATTGCTAAAATAATTCTGTGCAATGAAAGTCCAGGGCCACATATTACAAAGACATGTAACCAATAGAACAATAAAATATCAGGTGGTGACCTTTTAACTGAATGATGTTTTCTTAAAAAGAAAAAGTAGAGTTTGTTGTTATATTACATTGTTGCAGTGCCCAAAGTCTAATGGCTTCTTAAAAAACTGAAACATTCTTTTGACCCCACACATCCAAACAGCAATGTGCAATTTCAAGAGAAAAAATCCCAGGTTAATATGTGTCTTTGCATATAAAACAATAAAAACAAGGCTGAACAAGCTGTTGTGTGTATAATTTTAGGCAGGATAAATAAATTTAATGTAGTTCTGTGAAATTGTCAGCAATCATGCAAGTGAAAAACAAGCTGATACCTGAGAGCTGGGCACCAGGGCCTTCCACCAATGTCCTCCCTTCACCAGATCAACCTCACTAAGAGGAAGAGCCACTTTTCCGATGACACAGTGGCGTGAAAACTTGTCAAAGTCGACCACAGAGAGCAGTAGTGTGCGTCTTTGGGCCTCCAGGAAGGGGAGATCAAAAGTGAAACGCTCTTCAAACACTGGGTTCTGGGTTTTTCGCTTAACTCCCGTCTGCCTTGAGTTCTTGTTGTCGGGCAGCAAGCTCATCTTCACGTAGGGGTTCGAGTGGGCCATGTCTTGGCGGGCACCGTCGCATGTTACAGGAGGAGGAAGGTCCCTGGCCTCAATGACTCGCACGATGAGGTGGGCATTGATGAGGTCGTATTGTGTGCTGAAGTGCAGCATGCCCAGCTGGTACCGCATCAGGATCTCTTCATCTGTTAGAGAGTCCACATCATCACTGCATGAGTCTAAAGAGTAAAGATGGGGCTCCAGCTTGCGAAAGTAGTCGTCCGGTGGTGTAGGTGGCTTTCGCAGAGGCTGAACTACTTCCTTTCTGGGTCCCATGGCCCAAAATTCAATTGGCTTTACATCCACCATGGGGGAGCTTGGGCGTCGGGCATTCAGACCTGAAACAGTGAGAGGTATTAAGGTGAAATTGAAACGTTCATAAACCTGCTAGTCAAAGTGAGAGTTAAATCTGGACCTACTTGCAAGCTGACCTGCCAAGCTGAAGGTGGATCGGGCAGCTTCTGAGGTGGGTGGCCTGCAGTTTATAGTGGGATCGGATTGGGGAGAAGAAGCGCCGTCCTGATCCACGAGGTGAGAATTTGTGCCTTTCTCATCATTGTAGTCATTGACACTGGAAGAGAGGAGTTTGTTAGTTAAACTACTTTCATGTTGCCTATTGAAATGACAATTTGATATTTACAGCACCAGTTCAATGCAATTTGGTTTTCTTGGCTCTTTTTAGTCAGGACCAAAAAAAACAAACTTTTAAGTTTAGCCTAGGTTTTTTGTGTCAATTATAAGACCAAGCCGAACGATGGAAAATACAAAAAAATTATCTGATTTTCAACTGAGAACTTGTGAATAGCGAATAAAATGTGAGACTGGACCACAAAACCAGTAAAAAGTTGAGCCGCTGTATTTGTAGGAATAAAAAATACATTATGTGTGTCAAAATTATATACATATAAAATAAACATAAGATCATTAGAAAAGGAAGCAAAGATTTTTATGAGTAGTACTATGCATAGGTAGGAATTAAATTTGGACAACATTAAATGTGATTTTCTCAATACTTTGACCTTGTTAAACCCTCGGATTCCAGATTGTCAAATCTTAATAAAAAATGATCAAACACATATCAAAGTCCCCAAGAAATCAAAACTAACCACATGATTTTGTTAGCTCACACTGCCAGTTTTGTGGAGAACAATTGTGATAAATGTCATAAAGAAAACAAAAAATAGTTTGCCCTTCTAATCTTTAACTGAAATCTGTAAAAATACTTCCTGATTGTTTTCAGTTAAATTGTCAGATTCAGAAACTGTCAATTTTGACAACGAACAGAAATGGTGAGGACTGCGTCACAATATGAAAAAATAATGGTCACAGTTTCTGTTTCATGGGGACTTTAATTCAGTTTTTGAATGTATAGATGTCAACCTTTGAAACTTTCAGAATCACAAATATGTAAAGGAGTCAAAACGGCACCAGAAATTCCTACATTAACAAAGACCTTCTGTAAGGAGATACATTTTACCATGCCTGTATGGAACTGTAATAAGCAAATTGGAGATTATGGTAAAAAAAAACAAAAAAAAAAACAGGTACGTCTGAGCATTCAGTGCTTTTTATGGTTGCATCTTGCAAAATCAAACCCTGTTTTTAATTTGCTTTTATTATTTTTGTTTGTGGTGCTTTCAAATTTAAGTTAAGCAGAGTCTAGAAACAGGTCAAGACACACTTTTTATGTGGTCTCAGCCAAATTGTTTGCAAAGCACCAAGATTCAGATGACAGGTCTTACACTTATTTAAAAAAAAAACTGCATTAAGCTACTGCACCAGAGTTTATTGAAATTAAACCTCACTAACTGTGAACATATCCATAGTACATTCTATGCATTGGATGTCATTTTCAGTTCACTTGTAATCAAACCAACAACCTTGGCTTTACCAATTCACTATTTAGAGCAGGGGTGCCCAAACTTTTTCTTACGAAGGGCCAAAAACCAAACTTGATTGAGGCTAGTTGGCCAAAGGTAATTTTAGTTGCCGTTTTTATGAGTAATTTCCTAATTTAATTAATAATATTAAAAAAAACATTGCTTTTTATTAAATAATACAGTATTTTTGTTTACATTTTATAATGAATTTAATACAGTAAAAACAAAAACAATCTCATTCATAACAGAATGGACGGAGTTACACAAGTTTTTGCCTCGATTTGCTCGCCGATGTCTTCTGTATAGTCCTCTATGTGTCAAGTGACAGAATTTACTAGGGCTCCACACAATATATCATTTCAGCAATAAAATCGCAATGGGATCATTTGCAATGGTCACATCGCAAATATATGCAATGTTGAGCCTGCATTATTATTTATCATTTCACAAGTGTTTTTTGAGGCCTGTAACTGTGTAAGGGTATTAAAAGCATCCAGGCATAAGAAAATATACTGTTTGTAACTTTGAAAAATGAATAACAATTAATTTTATGGAATTGTTTATAAGATGAAGACTGTGCAGAATTATTTTACATTTGATTATTCAATTACTTTTTACCTGAATACATCCCTCCCCCTTCTTCCTCTCTTCTTAGATAGGATGGTGGGCCAAATCAAAGGGCCAACTTTGGGCATCTCTTATTTAGAGGCAGTTGTGGTCTATTGGATAGAAAGTCAGATTTGAAGCCGTGATTACCAGCAGCTTGAGCAAGGCACCAAACTGCTTCCTACGTCCTCATAGTCTGAAGTGCATATTCAGTGCACACTTTAGCATTCCATGTAAGAGAATTTATGAATAGAGGAAAAGCGACACAACTAACTCGCAAGTAACTCTGTAATTTCTGAATGCATACTATATAGAACATACTTTAAAAAAAAATTCATGTGAAGTAATTTATATAAATTAGCCACTTTTCTGTCGATAGATAAAATAGTTAAGATTTCTTTTAAGTTCAGGTTGGATAAAACCAACAAATGATATATTTAAAGATCATAATAGTCTAAAAATAAGACACAATCAGCTTGAACAGGTAAAAACATCAAACAATGCTGCACTTTTCTGACAGCATGACTGATTCCACTTTTTTACTGAAGTGCAATTATATTTATGTCCAGTATTGTGTCATTTCTCATCTGCCTGTTTTTCCAGCAGCAACAAAGGTGGATGTTCTGTGCAGGATCTCTATGTGCAGGCCTGACTCCGACTCGTCCCATGGGGATCATCAAGGACCCTTTGTGTCCATGACTACAGCTCAGAGGGAGATAGTTGTCATAGCAACGGATGATTCTAAAACAAATGGCCTTAGGAGCAATTCGAGCCAACAAGAGCGGCTGGACTTATAGGGCATAGAGGTATACATTAGGATGTGCATGTTCTGCTTTGTTAAACATGCATCTTCTTCATCTGAAACCCCAATTAAATGTTGGAACATTTTTTAAGGGATAGTTCATCTAAAATGTAAATTTACCTCACCAAGTGGTTCCAAACCTTGATGGATATTTTTATATTTTGAACACAAAACAAGTTTTTTTAAAGAATGTTGGTAAATGGTGACCTTTGACTTAAACTGTAGGAAAAACAAATATTATGGAAGTCAATGGTCACCAGAAAATCAAACAGGTTTGTGACAAATGAACAGTAAGTAACAAGGGCGGACTGGCCATCTGGCAATTCTGGCAAATATCTCTTGCAAGACGTGAATATTATGATGATGATGATGCTGATGATGATAATAGTAATAATGCTAAAAGTTAAGCATTGGCCAAATCGGCAATGGCCAGCTAGTTTCGAGAGGGGCCGACCCAATCAAAGGTTACGCAGATGTAATCAAAATTTAGCAAGAATGTCAACCAAACAGTAAGTGCAACACAAGCTAATTGTCAGAGATGGACAGTAAAAAAGAAAAGGCGGTGCCAAAAGCTTAGAAAAAGCAAATAATTGCTCTAAAATGCATAAAATTAACTGAAATAGTTTCAAAAGGGGGCAGCACAGTGGGTAGCACTCTTGCCTCATAGCAAGAAGGTCGATGGTTCGAGCCTTGGCTGGGTCAGTTGGTGTTGTGGTGTTGTGTTGGTGTGTGGAGATTGCATGTTCGTGTGGGTTTCCTCCCAGTTTCCCTCTCAAGTTCAAACACGTGCTCTAGGTGAACTGGGCATCCGCTGTGTAAAACATATGCTGGATAAGTTGGCGGTTCATTTCGCTTTGGTGATTCCAGATTAATAAAGGGACTAAGCCTAAAATAAAATGAAGGAATGAAATAATTGCATGTATAAATTTGTTTTAAATGGGTTGTTTTCGTTCCAGTCACATACATTAAATGTTTAAATATCTATTACATATGGTACTGCTTATATTATATAAGTAGTGAATCTGCGTGTCTGTGGATGGGGCTGTGTTGATGTGGTAATGTGGGCTGGTGTTTCTGCAGTGCCAGGGCTGATTTTTAGTCCCAGTCTGCCCCTGGTGAGTACAGAAGTCAGTTTTCATGAATAATCCCTTTAA